GAAACGTCAGCCTTTCTGCTCCTATGATGCTGCTTGGCCTGCTGTGTTCATCCAGCTCCACACCTTGTTGTCTCAGATTCTCCAGCATCTGCAGTTCCTCCTATCTCTGATTCAATTCAATGTGAACTCTGTTTCTCCCTCTCTCTCTCTCTCTCCCTCTCCACAGATGCTGCAGACCTGCTGAGTTTCTCCAGCAATTTCTGTTTTTTGTTTCAGATCTCTAGCATTCTGCAAGATTTTGCTTTTGCATAAATTAATCTTGCACAGTCCGTCAGGATTAGAAGACTTTGGGCTTAATAAGGGTTTAATCTAACGCTTGTTTGGTCATACTGAACTTGTGTATTGCTGATTAAAAAACAGATTTGTGTCATAGATTTTCATCTCGCACTCATCAGGAAAGTTTGCAAGTTTAGGCAGATCACTACCACCTTCTCAAGGAAAACCAGGGATGCGCATTAATGCTGGGCCACCAGCAGCAGTCACGTTGCACGAAGGAATAAATAAAAACCAACTCAAGGGGGAAAATGAACATTTACAGTGTATGAGAGGTCAGTGCTGATTGGGTGGCAAGAGGACGCTGGTAGAGGCATTGCCATGGAGAATGAGACCGTTAATGATGAATGACAGTTAACTGCCAACACTCTAGGTGCCAATGAATGGAAACAAAACTCTTTCAAAGCCAGCTAGCAATCTATTGTTACAAGTGCCCTGATTCCAAACTGAGTGAGAGGATTGAGAGTTGGTAAATAAAGTTGAGACACAGATCGGCCGTGATCTAATTGAATGAAGGAATAGGCTCTAGGGGCTGAAAGCCTCCAACTGCTAGACTCACCTCGATCAACGAGTGGAATATCTTCCTCATCAGAATCTTGTGCTTTAACCTTTGCTGTCTGTTTTTTGCCTTTTCTTGTTTTATTCAGATTGCTCATCCTAAACCGGGCATAGACAATTACATGCAAGCAATATGAGTCAGCCTCCATTTAAACCCTTCCTAGCTTCCAGAAAGCAGTAAACCCAAAGAGATCGGTCTCTGGTCGATACCGCAGAGGAGGAAGAGTTGAATCAGGAACCCACCGCCACCACCACGCCCCCCCAACCTTTTATATTCCTGACTTCACACCTCCTCAACCCTCATGCCCCCATCCCCACTCCACCCATCCACCTAACCCCCCCCGCCTCATCCTCAGGAGCCTTGGGAATGAGTGAATGGTCCTTGTTGAGGAAGAATGAGTGGGGAAATGGCTAGCTTTGACGACATTGTTAATTCAGAGACTGGCAGGATCAGATAGGTAAAGATAGCCGAGCTCAGGGGGTCATAGGATGTTCTCGGAATAGATTCTTACAACAACATGTTCTGAAACCAACTAGAGCAGGTTCTACTAGACTGGTGTTGTGCAATATGATTAACTAATTGTCTCAGACTGATGATATACCCATGACCATGATAAAACTGATCTTGCATTCAACAGGAGACAAGAGAGGGTCCAAAAGCAAAGCTGTCTAAAGGAAGCAAATGAGGTTAAGAGATAGGTGAATAAATTTACAGCAGCAGACATGTAAGAAGGTATTTCAGAATGCACAGTTTAGATACATTCCAATGTGAAAGAAATGTTCAAAGGGGAGGACCCATCATTTGTGGTAAGCAAAAAACAAATTAACACAGCAGGTCTGGCAGCATCTGTGAAGGAGAAAACAGAGTTAACGTTTCGGGTGACCCTTCCTCAGAACTCAGCTGCCAGACCTGCTGAGCTTTTCCAGCAACTTTGTTTTTGTTCCTGATTTACAGCATCCGCAGTTCTTTTGGTTTTTAAAAAAAATTTAAGATCGCATCAAAGTTTTGGATAAAGCATACAATTGGGCACAGATAGGTGGTAGGTCAGAAAGGTAGAAAGAAGATAAAGAAAAGCAAAGAAATGATAAATTAAAGTATGAGTGAAAGTTATCTAGAAATGTGAACAGAGAGCAAAAGTTTCTACATCTATTGTAAAAAGTTGATAAAGTGAGCACTTATTCAAGGAATTGAGTCAGCGCATTAATAATGGAAAATAAGGGGAGGGCAGATGAATTGGATAGGTGTTTTGCATTGATCTCCACTGTAGAGGTTAAAAATAATATCTCAGAAATATCTGTAAACCAGGAAAGGGAAGAGGCAAGAACTCAAGTAAATTACAAGCACCAGGAGACTGGTACTGGGTAAATTGTTGGAGCTGTTTCTGAAAAGCCCTTCAGTCCTGATGGACTACATCCCAAGCTCTTCAAAGAAACAATGACGAGAATAGGTGATGCATTGCTTTTAATTTTCCAAAATTCCCTCCAATCATGGAAAGGGAGCTAGAGATACCCTCATTGATAAATCACTGAGGGCTAAAATGCATGTGCAACAAGCTACTGGGGAGGCAAATAGAATGTTAGCCTTTATTGCAACAGGTTTGAGCACAGGAGCAGTGAAGCCTAGCTTCAGTTGTATAAGATAACAAGGTGTGGAGCTGGATGAGCACAGCAGACCAGGCAGCATCAGAGGAGCAGGAAAAGGGACGTTTCAGGTCTGGACCCTTCTTCAGAAATGAAGAAGGGTCCAGACTTGAAACATCAGCTTTCCTGCTCCTCTGATGCTGCTTGGCCTGCTGTGTTCATCCAGCTCCACACCTTGTCATCTCAGACTCCAGCATCAGCAGTTCCTACTATCTCTCAGTTGTATAAGGGTTTGGTTAGACCATACCTGGAGTAGTGTGTGCAGTTTTGGTCTCGTTATTTCAAAGAAGGTATTATTGCCATAGAAGGACTGAAACAAAAGTTCACCAGACTTGTTTCTGGGATGAAGACAGATCGAGCAAACTGGTCCTATATTCTCTACTTTGAAAAAATGAACAGTGATCTCATTTAAACATGCAAAATACTAAAGATCCAGGTAAGATGTTTCCCCTGGCTGTAGAGTCTAACATCAGGGGCATAATTTAAAAATAAGGGGCATGCTTTGGTCCGAGGTGAGATATTTTTAATTGCGATTTTGACTTCACTACCACAGAGTGCTATGGAGGCTCAGCCCTTGAGTATGTTTAAAGTTAATACTGAGAGATTTCCAGCAGTGTACAGAATTTATAGGGGTTGGGTGGGTAAAAGTGTTCACTGAGCCATGATTGTATTAAATGGTTGGGCTTGTTAGATGGGCTGAACAGCCTGTTCCTACGTTCCTAAACCTCCGTTCGATGAGAAAGTAGCAAGTTTAACGCCATGATTTAAAAGGGAGTCCAGACGGCAGGAAAAAGCAGGTCAGTCAGTTTAACATAGTGCACAGGAAAGAAATGAGCAGATGTTATTCAAAATGCCACAGCAGGGTTTTTGGGAAAGCTCAGGATGGGTAGGCAGAGTCAACATGGGGTTTTGTGAAAGAATAATCATGTTTGACCAATCTATTGGAGTTCTTTGAAAAAGCAAAATGCTGTGTGGGTAAAGGGGACCTGGCAGACACACCATACCTGGATTTTGATAAGGTTCCATATCCAAGGTTATTATGGAAAATGAAAGGAGTAACATGTTAGCACAGAGAGAAAATTGGCTGGCTGGCAGAAAACAAAGAGGAGGCATAAGTGGATCTATTTTCGGTCGCAAAATGTAATGAGATATTTTCCACAGGGATTGGTACTGGGAGGTCTCAATTATTTACAATTTACGCAAAAAGACCTGGAAGAAGGAACAACAGGTATAGTTGCCAAATAAAACCGAAAGAACTGCGGATGCTGTAAATCAGAAACAGAAATAGAAATTGCTAGAAAAGCTCAGCAGGTCTAGCGGCATCTGTGGAGAGAAATCCGAGTTAATGTTTTGGGTCGAGTGACCCTTCCTCGGACAAATCGGTTAAGTGGTCAAGCAAGGACAGCGCAAATGGAGTGTAAAGTGGGAAAATGTGAAACTGTCCATTTTAGCAGGAAGAATAATTAAAAGCCATTACTTAAATGGAGAGGGATTTCAGAGCTCTGAGGTGCAGAAGGACCTGGGTTTTCTCATACATGTAGCACAAAAGGTTATGATGCAGGCACAGCAAGTAATCAGGAAAGATAATAGAATTTTGTCCATTTATTACAAGGGAAATAGAATACAAAAGTAGGGAGGTTATACTTCAGTTTTACAGGGTACTGGTGAGACTACACCTGGAGTCATGTGTTCAGTATTGGTCACCTTAGAACACAGCACAGCACAGGAATAGGCCTTTCGGCCCACCATGGCTGTGCCGACTGTGATCCTATTCTAAATTAATCTCATCTGCCTGCACATGGTCCATAGCCCTCTATTCTCGGCCTGTTCATGTGCTTTACTGTCATATCTCCTTCTACCACCCACTCTGGCAGCAGATTCCAGGCACCTACTACCCTCTCTAAAAAAAATTCCTCATACTTCTCCTTTAACCTTTCCCCCTCAACTTTAAACCTATGCTCCCTGGTATTAGACATTCCCACCCTGGGACAGAGACTCCAACTATCCATCCTTCCATGCCCCTCAGAATTTAATACTTCCATCTCTTGCCCTATCCCAATCTCAGCCTCAAATGCTCTAGTGAAAACGTCCAACATTTCCTTATTGCTGACACTAGTCCAATCCTGCCAATCCATCTAGCCTGCACATCTTTGGACTGTGGGAGGAAACCGGAGTTCCCGGAGGAAACCCACACAGACACAGGGAGAATGTGCAAACTCCACACAGACAGTTGCTTGAATGTGGAATTGAACCCAGGTCCCTGGTGCTGTGAGGCAGCAGTGCTAACCACTGAGCCACCGTGCTGCCCTTATATATTACAAGCAACAGAGTCCCAGCACTAATCCTTGTGGAATACCACTGGTCACAGATCTCCAGTCAGAAAAACAATCATCCACAACTACCCTCTATCTTCTGTGGCCAAGCCAATTTTGTATCCAACTTGCCAACTCACCATGGATTCCATGCAGTTTGATCTTCTGGACTGGGCTACCATGATACAACTTGTCAAATGCTTTGGTAAAGTCCATACTGCCCTACGTCCATCAACATCTTTGTCATTTCTTCAAAAAATCAAGTTTGAGAGACAAGATCTTCCCTGCATAAAGCCATGCTGACTGTCCCAAATAAGTACATTCTTCTCCAAGTGCAAGTAAATCCTGTCTCTAAGAATCTTCTCCAATACTTCCCTACCACTGATGTAAAGATCACTGGCCAATAATTTCTTGGATTATCCCTGTTGCCCTTCTTGAACAAAAGAATAACTTTGGCTATTCTCCAATCCTCTGGGACCTTGCCTGTGACTAAAGAGGATAGAAAGATCCCTGTCAAGGCCTCAACAATCTCCTCCCTTGAATCTTTCAGTATCCTGGGATAAATCTCATCAGGCCCTGGGGACTTACCTACTTTAATTTTTTTCAAGACACCCAAAACCACCTTCTTCTTAATATCGACATGCCTTAGGGTATCAACAAACCAATCTCTAAACTTACCTTCTTCAACGTCCTTCTCCTTGGTGAGTAATAATGTGAAGTACTCATTAAGGACCTCACTCAATTCCTCTGGTTCCACAGATAAATTCCTCACTTTGTCTTTGACTGGACCGACCTTTCCCTAGTTATCATCTTCTTCCTAATATACATATAAGCTACCCTGGGATTCTCCTTAATCCTACTTGCTAAGGACATTTCATGGCTTCTTCTAGCCCTCCTAATTTCCTAGAGTCATAGAGTCATACAGCATGGAAACAGACGCTTCGGTTCAACTAGTGGACTGGTTGGATCAAAGGGTCTATTTCCATGCTGTATGACTGTAGTCCACGCTGACCATGTTCCCAAACTGAGTCCCACCTGCTTATGTTTGGCCATATCCCTCCAAACTTTTCCTATTCATGTACTTATCCAAATGTCTTTCAAATGTTCTAATTGTACCTGTGCCAACCTCTTCCTCAGGAAGTTCATTCCACATACGAACCACTCCCTGTGTAAAAAAAACTGCCTCTCATGTGCTTTTTAAAATTTCTCCTCTCATCTTAAATATATGCCCTCTGGTTTTGAACTCCCCCACTCTAGGGAAAAGACCTTTGCTATTCACCTTATCTATGTCCCTCATGATTTCATAAACCTCTATAAGGTCAGCCCTCCAGTGAAAAGGTCCCAGCCTATCCAGTCTTTCATTATAACTCAAACACTTCATTCCCGGCAACATCCTGGTAAATCTTTTCTGAACCGTCTCCAATTTAATAATATCCTTCCTATAGCAGGGCAACCAGAACTGCACACAATACACCAGAACAGGCCTCACCAACATCCTGTAAAATGTCAACTCTTATACTCAAAGGTCACAGCAATGAAAGTAAGCGTGCTAAACACTTTCTTAACCAACCCACCTATATGTGACACAAATTTCAAGGAATTATATACCTGAACACCTAGGTCTCTCTTCCTCAGAACATTTCTGGGTCACCAGACTGAAACGTTAACTCTGTTTTCTCCTTCACAGATGCTGCCAGACCTGCTGAGCCTTTCCAGCAACTTTGTTTTCGTTCTTGATTTGCAGCATCTGCAGTTCTTTTGGTTTTTACCTAGGTCTCTCTCTCTTCTACAACACTACCCAGGTCCCTGCCAGTAATTGTATAAGTCCTGCCCTTGTTTATGTAATATCTCACATTTATCCAAATTAAACTCCATCTGCCACTCCTCAGCCCATTGACCCAATTGATCAAGATCTCTTTGTAATCTCAGATAACCTTCTTCACTGTCCACTATACCACCAATTTTGGTGTCATCAGCGAAATTACTAACCATGCCTCCTGCATTCTCATTCAAGTTGTTTATATAAATGACAAACAAAACTGAACCCAGTACCAATCTTCATGGAACTCTGCTGGTAACAGGCCTTCAGTCCAAAAAGCAACCCTCCACCACCACCTTCTGTCTTCTACCGTCAAATAAATTATATATCCAATTGGCAAACTAATCCTGAATCCTGTGTGACCTAACTTTGCTAATTAATCTATCATGCAGAACCTTGTCAAACGTTACTAAAGTCCATGTAAACAATATCTACTGCCTTGCCCTCCGCAATCTTTTTGGTTACTTGCCCAAAAAACTCAATCAAGTTTGTGAGACACGACTTCCTTCGTACAAACCTATGGTGACTATGGTTAATGAGTCCTTACCTCTCCAAATGCCTGTAAATCCTATCTTTCAGAATCACCTCCAACAATTTACCCATCACCGATGTCAGGCTCACAGGTCTATAGTTCCCAGGCTTACAGGCTTTCTTAAATAATGGCACAACATTAACCACCTTCCAGTCCAATGACACCTCACTTGTGGTTATAGATAATACAAATATTTCCGCTAGGGGGCCCTGCAATTTCTTACTTCACTTCCCACGACGTCCTGGGATACACTTTATCAGATCCTGGAGATTTATCCAACTTTATGTTTTCTAAGACCTCTAGCATTTCCCTCTTGTTTAAGTTTTTTCTCTGCTTGCTTTATACTCCTCAACAGCCTTATTTTATTTCTGTTTCCTAAACCTTACATATGCTTCCTTTATCTTTGTGGCTACACTTACAACATTTCTCATCATCCAGATTCCCAAATCTTGCCGTCCTTATCTTTCATTCTCACAGGAACATGCTGGTCCTGAATTCTGGGGTCAACTGGTTTTTAAAAGACTCCCACGTGTCAAATATGGATTCACCATCAAAAATCTGTCCCCAGTCTAATTTTTCCAGTTGCTGTCTAATACTGTTATATTTAACCTTCCCCCAATTTAGCACTTTCACCCGAGGACAGTCTTACCTTTCTCTGTAACTATTTTAAAACTTACAAGATTATGATCACTGTTCCCAAAATACTCCTCCACTGAAATTTCAATCACCTGGCTAGGCTCATTCCCCAACACAAGGTCCCTTGTACAGCCCCTTACCTAGTCTACATATTGTTTCAAGAATCCCTCCTGGAAGCACCTAACACATTCTGCCCCATCTAAACCCCGGCATTCAGTAAATATTGGGGAAATTAAAATCACCCACTATCACAACCGTGGTGTTTAACATCCTTCCATGATCTGCTTACATATCTGTTCTGCTATTTCCTGCTGGCTATTGGGAGGCCTATATTTTAACCCCATCATAGTGATTGCATCTTTCTTATTTCCAAGGTCTATGGATATTGCCTGGCTGGGTGAGCCCTACCAGACGTTCTCTCTTAGTCATAGCTGTGAGATTCTCCTTAAACAGTAATGCAACTCCCCCACCTCTTTAACATACCTCTCTATCTCACCTGAAACATCTGATTCCTGGAACATTGAGCCCTGTCCTTTACTCAACCAGGTTTCTGTAATGTCTACCACAATTTAACGCCATGTACCAATCCAGGCTCTAAGCTCCTCTGCCTTATCTGTTGTAGTCCTTGCATTAAAATGGATACATTTCATACCGCTAGGTCTGCCATGTTCATTAACCTGACCCTGCCTGTTCTTTTTATTAGACTTCCTTGATTTAGCCCCTCTCTTCTCTTCACTCTACATACTGACCTCCTGCTCTGGTTCCCAGCCCCCTAGTTTAAACCCTCCCAAGTGACACTGGCAAGCCTCCCTGCAAGGATATTGGTGCCTATCCAATTTAGATCAGAGATCATAGAATCCCTACAGTCTGGAAACAGGCTATTTGGCCTGTTGAGTCCACACTGTTCCTCTGGAGAGACGTACTCCTACCCTATCCCTGTAACCCAGCATTCCCATGGCTAATCCACCTGGGCCTGCACAATCCTGAACACTATGGGCAATTTAGCACGGCCAGTCCACCCTAACCTGCACATCTTTGGACTTAGGTGCAGCCTTATAAAGGCCACCTGCCCTGAAGGAGATCCCAATGATCCAGATATCTGAATCCCTCCCTCCTACACCAACTCTTTAGCCACACATTCAAATGCATTACCTTCCTTTTCCTGGCCTGACTAGCATGTGGCACAGGGAGTGATCCCGGGGTTATAATCTTCTTTCAGGAAGGATCGGAGACAATTCAGAGCAGGTTTACCAGACTAATCCCTGGAATGGGTGCGTTGTGCTATGAGAAAAGGTCAGACCTTGTACTCCCCAAGACTTTTGGAGAGTAAGAAACAAGTTGGTTGAAATCTGTAAGATTTCCTGAGGGGCCTTGACCGAGTAGATGTGGAAATGATGTTTCCTCTTGTGGTAGAATCTAGAACCAGGGTTCACTGTTTAAAAACAAAGGCTGTCCAGTTAAAATAAATTAGAGAAGAAATGGGTCATGAGTCTTTGCAATTCACTCTTGCAAAGGAGATGGAAGCACAGTCTTTGACTATATTTTGGGCAGAAGTCAAATAGATTCTTGTTAAGCATGGGGGTGAAAGGTCATCTGTAGCAGGTGGTGGAGTACAGTTATAAGATCAGCCGGGAGCTTATTGTCAGGCTTGACAGATTGAACAGCCTTCTTCTGCTTTTAAGTCATATTCTACTAAAAAGGCTGGGTGGTTATATTATTTGCAAGCAATCTCTGAAGTCTCACCATCATCCTGGGTAGAGATAACCAGAAGTGAAAGAGGGTGAGAGTGAATTATCCAGGGCCCCTCTGTGGGTTCACACCGGGTCTGATTGGAATTGCAAGTTTCAAAGTAACAGCGAGGGAGAGGACCCGCATCATATGTCACTTTCCTTCCCCCCACCCCAACCCCAAAGAACCGCAGTCCAAGCCCCGCCACCCACCCAGCACGCCCTCCCTCCCAGGCTCCATGCTTTAACACACCGTCTCATCAATCTGGCCGTAAGCAGGGAATAATTTCAGCAGAGAAATGTCGGCTACCGCACCTTGCTGCTAGCTCCTCCACGGAGAAAGCAGGATTGGAGCTGCTCCCCGCCTCATCATCGATATCATATCTGACAGGAGGGGAGGGGTGAGGGGAGCGAAACAGATATTAGCATTTGTGTATGCAAGACACTCAAAACATTCGCGCACATTCTGACACAAATCCTGAAACTGATATCGAACGTATTTCTGAGATCTCACCCTATACTGTTGTGGAACAATACAAACTGTTAGGGAGATTAGTGAACTTCAGAAAGTCATTGAGAAATGTCAGATAAGACGTATATTTTTAATGGTAAAGTCCTGGGGAGTGTTGCTGGAGTGCAGGTTCTTAGTTCCTTGAAAGTGGAGTCCCAGGTAGACAGGATAATGAAGGAAGCATTTGGTACGCTTGCCTTTATTGGTCAGTGCATTGAGTATGGGAATTGGGAGGGTCATGTTGTGGCTGTACAGGACATCGGTTAGACCACTTTCGGAATACTGCATTCAATTCTGGTCTTCCTGCTATAGGAAGAATGTTGTTAAGCTTGAAAGGGTTCAGAAAAGATTTACAAGGATTGAAGGGTATGAGCTACAGTGAGGGGCTGAATAGGCTGGGGCTATTTTCCCCGGAACATCGGAGGCTGAGGAATGACCTTATAGAGGTTTATAAAATCATGAGGGGCATAGGTGAATAGTCAAGGTCTTTTTTCCCAGGGCTGGGAGTCCAAAACTAGAGGGCATAGGTTTAAGGTGAAAGGGGAAAGAATTAAAAGGGACCCAAGGGGTAACTTGTTCATACAGAGGGTGGTGTGTGTGTGGAGTGGTGGAGGCTGGTACAACTACAACATTTAAAACGCATCTGGATGGGTATATGAATAGGAAGGGATATGGGCCAAGTGTTGGCAAATGGGATTAGACCAATTTAGGATATCTGGTCAGCATGGATGTGTTAGACCAAAGGGTCTGTTTCCGTCCTGTACAGCTCTATGACACTATCAGACAACTGGGAGATGAAGTTCAATGCAGGGAAGTGTGAGTTGATCCAGGCAGTGTATCCCCAGACCTGAAATACTCGCTCAGTGAAAATATTTTTTCCTCAACTTACAACTTTTCCTCAACTTTGCAAATAAAAAACCTTTTCCCTCTGGTTTTCAATCTTTTTATCTTTTCAATCTTGTTTCTCCCAATCCAACCAATCCAGACACCTCAGGATTTTGAAAACGTCTACCAAATTTCCTCTCAGTCATCTCCTCTCCAAGGAAAATATTCCCAATGTCTCTTTATTACTGAAGTGTTGGAACCATTCTGGTAAACCCTTCTATATTCTCAGATTCATTCTCGTCCTTCCTATAGTGTGATGCCCAGAGCTGTAAGCAGTTCTCCAATTCAGGTCTAATCAGTGAGTTCGACATGTTCAGCATTATTACCTTCGTTCTGTCCTCTACGTCCCTGTTAAAGAAGCCAGGGAAACTGTGCGTTTTATTAACAGCCATTTCTAATTGTCAGAGAACATAGTAGACAGACCATAGAACATAGAACAGAACAGCACAGGAACAGGCCCTTCAGCCCACAATGTTATGCTGAACATGACGTCAAATTAAATGAATCCCTTCTGCCTGCCCCTGGCCCATATCCCTCCATTGCTCACATATTCATGTGCTTATCTAAAAGTCCCTCAAATGCCCTTTTTGTATCTGCCTCCACCACTACCCCTGGCAACACATTCCAGACTCCTTCCACTCTCTGCGTAAAAAAACCTTACCTCTCACGTCTCCTTTGAACTTTCCCCCTCTTAAACACATGGCCTCTAGTATTGGATATTTCAACACTGGGAAAAAGATTCTGACTGTCAACCATATCTATGCATCTCATAATTTTACAAACTGCTATCAAGTTTCCCCTCAGCCTCCACCCCTCCAGAGAAAACAAGCCGAGTTTTTCTACCTTCTTCTTGTAGCTCATACCCTCTAATCCAGGCAGCGTCCTGGTAAACCTCTTCTGCACCATCTCCAAAGCCTCCAAATCCTTCCCGTAATGTGGCGGCCAAAATTGAACGCAATACTCTAAGTGTGTCCTGCCACCTTTAATGCACACATACCCCCGAGTCTCTCTGTTCCTGCATAGAGTTCCTACACTGTTTCTTAGAACAGCTCCTTTTATTTTATACCGCCTTTCTATGTTCTTTGCATCAAAGTGTGTCCTCACACTTCACCACATTGAACCTCATATGCCACCTGTCCATCCGTCCCACCAACTTGTCAAAATACCTTTGAAGTTCCTCACTGCCCTACTCAACACTACAATATTCCCAAATTTTGGATCATCTGTAAACTTGTGCCCTGCACACCAAGATCTAGATCATTAATACATTTCAGGAAAAGCAATATTGACCCCTGGTCATAATGTAAAACATAACATTTGATAACACAACTTCTTCAGTAATGTTAAATAACAAAATACAATAAGCACATAATAAAACCATGTCAATCATTAATTTTTTTAAATTGTCTAAATAAAGAGGGTTGTCAATTGACTTTTATAATTTAACTTATGCCTTTTAATACTTGTTTTCATTTACCAAGAATATCAACAGATGCATTTTTAAAAATTAATTCATGGAATGAGGTCGTTGTTGGCTAGGCAGCATTTATTGCCCATCCCTAATTGCCCAGAGGGCAGTTGAGAGTCAACCACATTGCTGTGGGTCTGGAGTCCCATGTAGGCCAGACCAGGTAAGGATGGCAGTTTCTTTCCCTAAAGGACATTAGTGAATCAGATGGGTTTTTCCCCAACAATGGATTCATGGTCATCATTAGACTCTTAAATCCAGATATTTATTGGATTCAAATTCCACCATCTGCTGTGGCAGGTTCAAATCCGGGTCCCCAGAACGTTACCTGGGTCTCTGGATTAACAGTCCTGTGATAATACCACTAGGCCATCACCTCCCCATCATTTGGGATGGGGGAATGTTGTGGTTCCATCTTGCAGATTTGGCCTCCATTGCAATCAGTGATGAGTTGTTACGCTACACAGGCTATGCCTGTTGCTCCCAGCATTGCAGGGGCTTTGCTTGATGTTGTTAATGTTGTGTAATTTGTTGGTAACTTTGTTAATGCATCAACACTTGTCAGTGAAGCCTCAGGCCTTCTCTTGCTGGTTAGTGATGTCGCTAGCATTGTAGATGTCTCAGGCTTTTCCAGCTCAGGGGCAATTTGAATATGGATGCTGCTCTTTCTCAACTTGTTTGCCAGTCTCAATCTCAAACAGTGCTTCACCAACAACATCCACTGGGTTCCAGATTTTCATGATCAGAACAGGCAAGACTGTTAACTTCCTTCAACTCATCCAACAGTGAGTTGTTGCCCCATTTCCTCCTGGTCACTTGGGTGGGGGTCTTTTGCTTGGCAAAGACGTCTTATACATTCTTCCATTCAACAGCTCTGCAGGCAATTCCAAATGATCTGCAAGAGGTGCAGATTGGAGCAACCAAAAGCCATGGTTTGGGTCTCCATCCACCTCTTGGCCTTTCCTGAAGGGCCAACTGGACATGTGTCTCTACAAACCCCTGGCACCAGGATGCCAATGTGATGAGGTGTTGGTGCTGAGCCCATATCGATGAGTAATTGGCCCATGTTATCTGGGATGTAAACTGGGTTCCATTCCCCCTCATGTTATTTTATTCAGGAATTCCCTTCCTTGGTGGTTATTGCAGCCTTAACTCTGCAGATAAAAAGGAACTTTGAGTCACAACCTGTAACGATGAGATGCCATTCTTGAGGGTGTGTGAATAAACTGACTCCTTCAGAATGCTGTGGTCTGGTTGGGCCTTTTGGAGCTGTCACTGCCTCCAGGCTTTGGGAACAGCTAAGATGAACAGAATTTCCTTTCGTTGTCACCTGTACTCCGTTGCAGGAGTACTGTGAGAAGCTTTCACAATGTCTGCCTTCTTATGGCGACATCTCAGGTACAAGCACCTAGGTGCAATTTTTGGATACAGCAGTGGAATAAAAGTCGTTGTACTACTTTACAGTGTTTAAAAATTAAGTTTAAAATAGGACATCATTGAAGAGTTGACGTTAAAGCAAAGTAGGCAATTTCAAATAAACATTACATTGCAGTGGCTCAGTGCAGGGTCTCCACATGTGGTCTGACCACCTGCGCCAGACCCCAGCCCAACAGCCATCCCCACTCCAGTCCACTCTGTACCAGCACTCAGCTGCTCCAAGGAAAGTTCCAGGACTGCTTCCTCTGCGTTGGTCTCTGCCCAGGACTTGCTACCTGTGCGCTGCTCTAGAACTGCTTCCCCGTGCTGTTCTGGGACTCGCAGCCCATGTGCTGCTCCAGGGTTCACTGCTCATGCCGTTTTGGGACTCGCAGCCCACGCGCTGCTCCAGGGCTCGCTGCTCGTGCCGTTCTGGGACTCGCAGCCCATGTGCTGCTCTAGGGATCATTGCTCTGGGGACTTGATGCAGGCATCTGCCACTTCTCCAGGATTTGCCTCTGGTGCTAAGGGGAGAGAAGAAGGAAAAAAGAGAGGAAAAGAAAGGGAAAAGAAAGAAAAAGAACAGGTGGAGCAAAGGAGCTCCGGCCTGGAGTGTCTTACTCTGCTGCCATCTTGCTGGACCAGATGACTGACCTCCAACAGTCTCCGCCATTTTCCTTTGTGCCAGGCATGACTCCAAACAGCAGAAAGTTTTCTTCATCATTCCCGTTGAATCCGGTTTTCCTAGGGATCCGTGACGTCACACTCAATCAAATGTGGCCTTGATGCAAATGAAAGTCACTCTCACCTCACCTCTTGAATTCAACTCCTTTGGCCATATTTGAACCAAGGCTGTAATGAGGTGAAAGACTGACTGGTCCTGGTGGAATCTAAACTGAGTGTCAGGTTATTGCTGAGCAGGTGCTGCTTGATGGAGCTGTTACTGACACCTTCCATCACTTTACTGACGATCGAGAGGAGACCGATAGAACTGCCATTGGCTGAATTGGATTTGATCTGCTTTTTTGTGTAAAGGATATACCTGGGCAACTTTCCATATCGTCGGTTGATGCCAGTGTTCTAGCTGTACTGTAACAGTTTGGC